AATGCTTGCTACCGAAAATCTATTGTGGGGAAGAGACCTTTGCCCTAGTTTATCCCACACACTCATGTTCACTTAGAAAGAGGTACACAGACTAAAAAATTTGATACTGACTCGTTCTCATCACTTTATTATTTTCTTTCACTGTGATACTTAAGTGTGACATACGACTATACCTTAGACTGTAATTCCAGCTCAGTGTGAGTATTTAGACCAATGGTACCATGGGGATAGGTAACCCTGCCTAACCAAAAGAAAAGAAAAAAAAGTCCATATGGTTGTGTTTAATGTCTGATCCTCAGGAAGTTTCTAGGGAGATGACACTGTGTCCCTGAGTGTCAGCAGTGCATGGCATGTGCTTCTTTGTACACACAAAATTACTTTTTAAAACTGGAGAGAGGCAGGATGATCAAATAGGTGCACTGAAGGGAATGCCCCCCACTCGCATACCCCACTCAGTAATTCAGTGGGTTCCAAAGCAGAGAGAACACAGGGTAATCCATGCAAAGAAAATCAAAATCTCTATTTTTTGGTGTATGCTTTGTAAGGTACTTAATATATTACTGCGGTGGCAGAAGTGTATCACTTACAAAGAAATGAATTAAAAGATAAACTTTGAGGGAGCAGGCTTAAAATTTTGGTAGAGGTAGGAGTGGCCACTTAAGACTTAGAGATCTGCCTTAAATGGGGGAAGCAGAGCCAGTTTTTCTTTGCACTTTTGTCTCTCCATTTGTAAAGTGAAGCTCCCCTCCCCTCCCTTTCTGCTGCCTCCCTTCCAGAGAAGTTGGGACGTCCAGAGAGAATGCTGTTGCCCTAAAGAGCAAAAATTCCATAAATATTCTGCATTAACTAGGGTAATTTAATTCAGATTAAAAAATTGTTTTATAGCACTTATTTTAGTTCATATGTTAATGGTCCCCATTTCCTATGTTTAATTCATGTTTGTGGGCATTCTACCAAATATATATTCTAAATTAAATTAAGAAGCCAAAAAAAAATGTCTTAGAGAGGCTTTTCACTTTATCTGACAGATATACTGTGTCTTACAAAACCCTGTATCTTAATATATGACTGGAGGGGAATAACATACATGGACTCTGAATTCCTCCCATGTAGCTCATTTACAAGAGTACCTCAGCTTGCTAAGAATTTGCCTCTTATTGGCCATTAGAACACTTACTAGAATATTTATTAGTTATTAACACAAAAAGTGTGTTTGCATGTGTATGTATGTACACTGAAAGAAACACAGCTCTCTAGCCTTCTTATTGTAGGGCTATTATCAATTGAAGTGTGCTATATGTGGATTTAAAAAAATCCCTAAATCCAAGAATGAATTGAGCTGAGACACAGGAGTAGAGGGCCGATTGGCTGACGGGGGTGAAAGTGGAGAGAGCCACACTGCTAACGTACCTTGTGTTTCTGAGATGCAGAGACACAATCCATGAATAAATCAAGCTGCAAAGCTGCTTATGCCTAACACTGTGGCTGCATCCGTTTGCTAGGCTGCCATACAAAGTACCACAGATTGGGTGCTTAAACAACAAAAATTTATTTTCTCACAGTTCTGGAAGCTGAAGGTCTGAGGGCAAGGGGTAACTAGGGTTGCTTTCTTCTGAGGCCTCCCTCCTTGGCGTATAGATGGCTGCCTTCTCCCTGTGTCTTCACATGGCCTTCACTGTGTGTGTCTGTGTCCTTATCTCCTCTTCCAATAAGGACATATTATATGATAAGGACATAGCAGTTGTATGGAAATAGGGTCCACCCCAGTGATTTCATTTTAACTTTCCTTTTTCCTCTTTAAAGATTCCAACTCCAAATACACTTGTTCTGAGATAGTGAGAGGAAGAACTTTAACATACAGATTTAGGGTGAGGGGCACAATTCAACCCATAAATAGTGGCATTCCCCAAGGGGACAGTCATCCTAACAGCATTCCAGCTAAGCTACAGCTAAATTCACGCTGGGCAGTAGCTTTCTTTGGCCTGGACTATCTTTACACACTATTGTGAAATGCTTTATTATATAGCTGTTAAATAAAGTTTGTTGCTTTCATGCCAGAAGTGGCTATATTCCAGGAATGAATGAAATGTTTCCTGGGGCTTTCTGTAATGAGAGAGGGAGAGAAAAGAAAATTGGAGACATTAGTATTGTCAATTACCATTATAAGGTATTTAGGAGTGCAAGATTTAATCTTATTTGTAAGTTTCATTTTCATGGAAAGAATTTATCTATTAACGTAAATTTATATTCCTTCTGATTTAATTACACTAGAAGGGACTTGAACTCTTCAGAATATAGAGGAGAGGGTCAAAATAGAATTGGTTTGCAAAACAGTCACACGAGATTCTCTTGCTAAGATCCACGGTATTTTCCTTGGCTAGCTGAGCACTTTTCTCCCTGGAAAGTAAATAGCAAACAGCTATCTATGAAATGGGTCAGAGCAAATATATTTGGTTCAGTAGCAGGATAAATAGATCATAGACTGACTAAAATAGTACAAAACAAAACAAATATCTAAGCCACACAGATCCAACCTGAAGGCTTTCAAAGGCAAACAAACAAACAAAACATTTAACGTATTCATGACTACTTCATATTTCAATAAAAGGTATGTTTCCTAGAGCTTTATTCTCACAAAAAAATATATGACCAGGGTACCAACCAACCAACCCAAATCCATAAGCCTGACAGAATTTTTACAAACTCTGATATCCCATAATGTCATAGACCAGAGAAGTGGTCTAGAGGTTCTGGAGCCCTCCAAGCCATAGAGAACATAATGGACCGATTGTTTCCTCAAGAAATAGGAAGAAAATACAAGAGGTTGATAACCAAGTCTGACATTCCAGATAATTATGAGTATTCTTTAATAACTAGGAAAGAATTTGAAGAAATACATGGACTGAATGTATAGAGAAAGAAAATATTCAACTTATAAAGCAAAACAAACAAAATCCATCACTTCCACCAAAAGTGAAACAAAATAATTTTTTATTTTGTGTTTGCAAAGACTGAGAAATTTAACTACAGTTGACCCTTGAATAAGTAGAGGTTAGGGGTGGCAACCCCCTGCAGAATTGAAAATCCATGTGTAACTTTGGACTCCCCAGAAACTTTACTAAATAGCCTACTGCTGACTGGAAATCCAATAACATAAACAGTATATTAACACATATTTTGTGTTATATGTATTATATAGTGTACTCTTACAATACAGTCACCTACAGAAAAGAAAATGTTTTTTTCAAATTGTCTCAAATCTCTAAAAATTTTTCCAATACATTTATTTATTGAAAAAAAAGATCCATGTATAACTGGGCCCACTCAGTTCAAACTTGTATTGTTCAAGGGTCAACTGTTACCTTTAGTATCACCTTCCAAGGTCTTTGGATTTCTCCATTGTATTTCAATTGTTTCAGTTCCTTAGCAAAACCTGCTATCATTACAACTGCCAACTGGGATCCAGAATTCTAGAGTTCAGATAGAAATTAGAGATTTTCTTTCCTTGAAATTTCTTTGGTTTTGATGATATTACTCTATCTTGGCTTTTCTTCCACCTCTCTAATTGATTTTTCTTCATCTTCTCTGCAGTCTCTTCTTTCCATGTCCATCCTCAGATAGTGGTGGTTCAGTCCTTTATGTTCTTCTCACTCTTTTGAGTGATCTTATACACTCCCATGTCAGCTGCTGTCTTTGTGCTGATGACTCCCAGTGCACTCCTCTCTTCTGAACCACAGCCCGTCAAGACAACTTTCTAATATCCATGCCCACCTTGATACTCTATAAATACTTTATGCTCAAAACTGACCATCCCAGACTGAAGTTTTCACTGTCACCAACTGTGGTAGCCAGTCACAAGATGACCCCCTCAGATCCCTGCCTCTTGGCTTTTATGACCTTGTATATCCCTTCCCACATCAGGTAGGGCTGACCTGTGTAACCAAAAGAACACTGTGGAAATGATGAAGCATGCCTTCCAAGGCTTAGTTGTGAAAGACATTGTGACTTCTTTCTTGCTCTTTCTTGGATCATCTGCCCTAGCAGAAGCCTGCTGCTACCTAAGGAAGATACTGAACCACCCTGTGGAGAGGACTGTGTAGTGTGGGAGATGCCACCCACCAACAAACAGTACTAACTTGCCAGGCCAGTGAGTCAGTCAGACTGGAAGCAGATCTTCAGCCCCAGTCATGCCTTCAGATGACTGCAGCCCCACCCAATATATAACCTCATGAGCTTACCCTTATGAGAGGTCCTGACTCAGAACCATCTAGCTAAGCCACACTCAAACCTTGCACCACAGAGACTATGTGAAATAATAAACTTTTCTTGTTGTTTTGGGCCACTAAATGTGGGGGTCATGAAACAAATATATTCCAATATCACAACATAACCTAAAACTCCTCCTGTGTTTTCCTTCCTTAGACATGTGCACCACAACCTAATTTCAACAACTCATGCAAGAAATTGAGGACCTTGTTTAAGGTAGTGTTGATAAATGTGGCAAGACATGAATGGACTAAATAGACAGTAGGGAAATATTTGATAAAATTGATGATAGGAGGTGGGGAGTTAGTGACAGAAATTTAAGATGAGAAGCTTGTTCACTTGGTTTTATGTTTTACTTACTGAGTCCATTTCCAAGAGGAATGAAAGAAAACTCCAGCCAAATAACTTTAAATGAGCTAGGTCTTCTTTCATAAACCTGTTTGTAAAATTTCTTCATAGGAATCAGGTTTTAAATATCATGACTGAAGAGAGAAAATAGCAAGAGGAGGTCACCTTCAAGGTAGACTGACAATAATCTTTCATGCTTTCATATTTCTATTTATACTCTTGAAATGTCCCTTATATGCATTATCTCATTTGCTGTTTACAACATTTTCTATTTGCTCAGGCAATTTTTGTCCAAATATAAGCAGTGAGAAAAAAATTAGATTGTATTACAGCTAGTGGATTTTTTTTTTTTTGAAACTGTGATAGAAGACCCAAGTCAAACCTGCTTAAGCTAAAACAAGATTTTATTAGTAAAAGTCCAGGTAGAGCTTGAGGTCAGTGTGATTCAGTCCTCAACAAGGCTGCCAGGATCCATTTCCTGGCTCTGCTTCATTTCTTCCTCTTGCCTTTAGGCTCCTAGCATAAGAACACCCAACACTCAGATTACTAGAACTAGAGCAAGTCTCTTCAGGCAGCTTCTAGAGAAATCCTGAGATTCACTCTGATTGGCTGTCCACCCCTGAATCATCCACGTAATGCAGGGAAACACGAAATGCTGATGAGCCAGGCTTTTGTTCGCCTGCTTCACTCCTGGAGCTGAGAAGGGATCACCTCCATGTTGAAGCTCATGGGCTATGACTGGAATCTCTGGTAGCTCTCAGAGGAAAATCAGAGCAGGGTTATCAAAGCAGGCAGCTCAGGGCATTAGACCAAAAGCCAGTAACTGTGCAATAGAAATATTTTATGTAAAACCTGAAAGCATATACCCATCATGTAGTCATTACCAAGAAAGTTGTTCGGTCTAAGTGCAAAAATTGAAGTAGAGAAAGGGCCTAAGCTAGAATTAGAACCCAGGGAGCCTCAGTATTATATTTATGCCACTGCTTATTGCTACTGTGAAGGTGGGAAGTCATCTGTCTCACAGGCTGCAGGTAGTGGATGGTTGCTCCCCCATCTTCACTCCCATCCACCTTCTCATTTCATGGCTGAGCTGAATCATCTTGTTTTGTAAATGCTGACTGTGGAGGTCATGGCCATACCCACATACTGCAATCTCTGAGCCTCCTGTGACTGCAAAGATCCCTGCGACTTGCAGAACAGAAGGAAAGTTGGAGGTGGGGAGGGAGTTGGCTCCAGTGAATCAGGCAGCAACCTGGAAAAAAGGGACACCTCTGTCAGAGGCAGAAGATGGGGATGGATGGCTGGGCACTGGATATACTGTGCATACTTTGTTAGTGCTGCGACCACTTCTGTTCTGGAATCCAGTGGAAGGGGACTTTCCTCTAGGCCCACAGTGAGGACCACAGTGTCAAGTGGGGCGATTGCAGCAGAGTTGTGGCAAAAACTCTGAAGTACTGTGGGAAAGTGTGTTTCCGAGGAGGGGCCAAAGTGAGTCTTCATAAGCAAAGTGCTGGAAAAATGTGAGTAAGAGGTGGATGAAACAGTCAAGGCATGATCACTTAGTCATAGAGTCATAAGGATTCTACTAAGAGTCCTTAAAAAGTTGGCCAGTAAATGCCCTGGCTCAGATAGGTCAGCTTTGAAGCCATACTAAATGCCCACTCTTCAATACTATGTTTAAATGCATTTGGAAAGGAAGATCCCTAATCTGGAAATGTGTTCTTATGTTGAAGCACTCTTTCAGTTAAAAATTCTTTCTCATGTATTACTATACTCCATTTTTGTTTTTAAAGAGAGATAAATAATTTGAATATAAGACATGAATTGAAGTACCAATTTTTCATGACTGATCTCATGTTTTGTTATGGTGCCCTGATGTTTATATCTAAAAAGCAGAAATGATAAGTAACCACCTTTATAGGAACATAAGGAAGATGAGGAGATGCAATATAAAAATATACTGAACCGAAAGACAAAAAGCACTATTTAAACAAGTGTATTGTTTTAACACAAATTATTACTAATATGATAGCTGTAGTACTAAGTCTATGCAGAAAGAAGAGAATAGAGTAATTTCTAGTTTGGGCAAAAATGTACACTTGAATGAAGAAAAAGCTGAGTTAGTGACATTTAGCTATCACTTGATTTTCCATTTGTTATGAGAAAACAATTGAGAATTTCTATCTTTTGCAGAGCGTGTGGGTGTGTATATACTCTACAAAGAATAAGCAATATTTTGCATTCAAGGCCCAAACTGGAAATCAACCTGACTTCAAGTTCTGTTCATTAATTTTCATCCCTTTCTAACAATAGCCCCTAGATATGTTAAAACCAATCTTTTACTGTCTAATTTGGGGGCATTTTCTGCTATGGCTGGTCATAAATCTCAAAAGGAATACTACTCACTTCTTGTAAGAATCGATGGTGATTCCTAGGTGGGAGCAAACAGTCATGTATCATACCCACGAGGATTATGTCTCTCCCAGTAGAGATGCTCATATAGAAGTCTGGCAGCTTTTGTAGTCGCCAGCAGTTTCATGGTCACTGTCCGAAGCAGAAAGGGCGCATCATCAAATTCTTCCTTCTAATGCAATCTTGTCTTCCTGGAATTTGTAATATTTTTCTAACACAGACAGGGAATATTTTTTTGAGAGTGCACAGTCATGTTAAAGTAAATACCCTGGAGAAATACTTTCAATTAAAATCCAGAAGGTTTAAAAATCCAGGCTAGGAAGGATTTCCCTGACCTACAAAACCTAATAAGATTTTTCTTTCCTGTTTTCTCCCTCCTCACCCTCTCTACATGTATGGAGCCGTCCTGCTTTCTTACCTGGTGGCCCCATTTAGCTCTGCCCTCTGGACATTCAAGCCAGAAAATGGCTTTAAAGAATGTTTTGAAAAAACTTGACATACTGATCTACTCTCAAACTCGATTTTTCTTTAAGCTGGAAAAGAGAAAGAAACCACGAAAACAAAGCAATAATAAAAATATTTTAGTCAAGTAAGAAAAATCTGACCAGAATAGTAGAATTTGTGGCGATTAAGGGAATTAAAATAAGAAAAACTTAGAAAGCAGGAATTTTGAGGCCTGAAGGGAGGGCAGGATGCAGGCAGCAGGTGTAGAGGTGCAGCAGAGAGACTGCGGTTAGAGTGGCTGTCTTCTCTGGGGTGGGGTTGAGGAGCAGTCATTTAGTCTCTCTTGGTTTCATCCACAAAGTGGGATATGGATGCCTAGGTTGCAGAATTTCTTAGTATTGCACATAGTATAATATGTGAAATACCTATACAGTCTGAGTACATAGGTACTCAGTTCTTTACTTAACATTGTAAAAAATTAAATGCCTGGGTATGAGGGAAAAAATACTCTCTTTTTTGTGTTCTTATTAGGAGTATGGTTAAAAGTATAGTTGACCTTGAACAACATGGGTTTGAACTATGTGGGTCCACTTATATGCAGTTTTTTTGTCAATAAATGTATTGGAAAATTTTTAGTAGATTTGCCACAATCTGAAAAAGCCTGTAGACAAACCATGTAGCTTATAAATATAGGGAAAAATTGAAGAAAAACTTAGGTGTGTCATGAATGCATAAAATATATGGAGTACTATTTTATTTTTTCATTTATTATGTAAAATCAACAGTAGGCTATTAGTATTTAAGTTTTTGGGGAATCTAAAGTTATGCATGGATTTTCTACTGCACAGGATGAGTGTCCCTAACCCCCAAACCCTTTACCCCTGTTGTTCAAGGGTCAACTGGGTAGCTGTTCAGCTGAAATTAATAAAACGTAAAGGTTAGAATGAAGAAGTAGACATGTGGAGAATGAAATGAATTCAAGGGGTCAACAGTGTCCGTTAGAGATCATTAGAAGGCAGTGCTGGGAGGAGGGTGGGGCAGGAGGCGCGCCTAGGGTGAACAGTAAGATGCGCTGACCCCACACTGCACAGCACCGAGCGTGCGCACCTCCTTAAAGTTTATCCTGAGGTGCCTCTCCTGCCCTACCCTGGTCCCTGTGCCATTCAGAGGACATCCTGCCTGGCTCACTGGCAGCAGTACCTGGCCCTCTCCTCAGTGCTTTCTTTCACACTTAAAATAGCTGGAGACACAACAGCTAGTGTAGTCAGACTTCTTTGGCTTCCTAAAGAATTCTAAAAGAGGTCATTACAGGATGCACCAATTGAAGGGAACAGAGGTGTGTTTAAGATTATAAATTTTAACTACAGAGATGATCTCATGTTCCATTGTCAAAGAAGTACACAGAGGGACTTACTAAAATTTCCACTGTTAAGGGTAACAAGTTATGAGCTCATTCTCTCACACCAGAGCCTTAGTATAAATGCTAAGAATATATAAGCAGGATCTCTTTTATTGGCTTGTCAAGAACAACATTGGAGGCTGGAAGACACCAGTCACCTTCAAGAATGAGTAACAAAGGGTAATTTGATGGGAGTTGGCGGACAGCCTCCAATATACCTATTTTTCTTAGACTGTTTTCTTAGATTATTTTTCTGTTTTCAAAATGTCCGTAAAGGTATGATATTTCATTATTCAATTCAGGCAACCCCATTCTCCATCTAAGTCATTTGTCAATGTAGCTTGATAATAACTAGCACTTTTACTCTGGATTAATTGGCATAATTTGATAAAATCATATAAAACCAGTTTTTTGAGAAGGGTAATATATCAGGAATGTGTTTGGCACTTAGGTAACAGAAAACCTAAGTGCAAGGACTTTAAGCACAGGGTTATTTTCCTGATATGACAAGACGAAGAGTTAGGCAGTTCCTAATGTTGGCTCGGTGCCTTTCCTCTTGGTCTTTCCCTCACAATGCCAATAAGCCCAGGCAGCCCAGCCATTGCGGCAGGATATAAGGCAGAATGGAGGGACAATGGAAGGACAGCACACTGGCTGTTTCCTTCCACGAGGAAGGCAAAAACTTCCCCCCAAACCCATACCTCTCCCATGCTTTGGGTTGAATTATGCCCCCACTTCTGCCCCCCAAAATGATATAGTGGGGTATTAACCTCCAGCACTTCAAAATGTGACCTTATTTGGAGAGAGGATCATTGCAGACTAATCAAGATACAATAGAGTCATAAGGTATGCCCTAACCCCAACTGACTAGTGTCTTTATGAAAAAAGGGAATTTGGACACAGATGTGCCCCTGGCATATGCAGACAGAATGCCATGTGAACAGAAGGACAGCCATTTACAAGCCAAGGAGAACTGCTTGGAACAGGTCTTTCCTTCATAGCCCTCAGAAGGAACTGAGCTTGGGAACATCTTGATTTCAGACTTCCTGCCTCCAGAGCTGTGAGATGATGTTGCTGTTGGTTAAGCCATCCAACTGGTGGTGCTTTGTCATGGCAGCCCTAGCAAATGAATGCCTCCCACTGAACTTCTACTTACATCTTACAGGCCACAACTGTGCCCCTGGCCACCCCTGACTATGAGAAAGGCTGGGCAAGTGTGTATGTAGCTGAACATATCCCAACCAAAGCATTAGGATTCTGGTAGCAAATTTAAAGAGGAGATTGGGCACTGAATGGATAACCAAGAGCACCTTCCACAGGGGAGAGAGTGTTTATGCTTGATAAGTGGTGCTGGGATGGGGAACACTCTCACCAGCACTGCTGAGAGACTTGAAATAATACTTGGGACGTATAGTTGGGAAGTGGAAATAAGACAAGGGGTCTGGATACCCACACTGACATTGCCACTGGTTGCTTTATGTTTTTGTTCAAGTTGCTTTACCTCTAAACCCTAGGTTTTTTATCTGAAAAAATGGGAATAATAAAATAATAATAATCTATGCTCTGTGCAAAGGCTTAGTTATGAGGCTCAAGTAAAATAGCACATATGAAAGTACCTTTGAACATATGATAGTCTATTCAGAGGTAAAAAAGATAATTAAGGAGAAAAATGTCAGCTTCTATGTCCTGGAAATGAAGGAAAGTTGAGACAAAATAGACTCTCTTAAAAGTTAGAGGAAATGAAAGGGGAGCAGCAGTTCTTATAAATCTAATTCTTAGCAAGACGAAGGCACCAAGTGATGAAGCAGAAGTAACACCACAGGAACAGACCCATTATCTCAGAGGAAATAGGAGTCTAGTAGGGGGGTATAGCCAGACAGAAGTGGCTCTAGGCTTCAGGAAGACATGTATAAAATTCATAAAAAGAGGTCATGAGCCCTTGGCCTGTAACAATGCTTCTCAAACTTTATGTGCACACAGATCACCTGGGGATTTTGTTAAAATGTATATTGTGGTCCAATAGGTCTCAGGAGTGGCTTGCCATTCTGCAGATCTAGTAAGCTCTTAGGTATTGTCAGTGCCACTGGTCTAAGGACCACACTGAGTAGCAAGGTCTACATCACTGAAAGGAAAACTGAACTCAAGAGAGATAGGAACTTTTCAAAATTGAAATTCTGACAACATATTGGTGAATGACTCTACTAAGGGAAAAATGTAAAGAATTGAACAGATTCTGCTCTGTCTTGGGGGGTGTCTTCAATAAGTTCAGCTTCTAAAAGAATGTGTAAAAGTTGGAAGGGAAGATACATAACCAAGGACAATTTCAAATAAATGATGTAGACTTACCCAGAAGGCATTAGAACAGATGAATATATTATTTTAAAAAATATAAATTTAAAAAGTAATGTTAAGGGCACCCAAGAGAGACTCATGGCCAAGTACTGTAAGTTTCCTTACCACAGTCTTTTTGGGGGCTCACTAAAATCCCCTCCTGGGTCATAGATTATATTTTGATTCTTTACATCATTTCTTCTAGAGTTAATTATTAAAGCAATGACCTGAGTGGACCCAAAAAGGGAAGCCACAGTCTCCAGGAACCAGCATCTATGCCCCAGGATGGAGTCAGGCCCAAAGAGCACAATATCCTTGTTTGAGGGATGACTTAGACAGAGGCAAAGGGATTGTGGACATGGTTTATCTAAGCAAAGCAGCCAATAAAACTTTTCATGGTAAACTTGTGGACAAGATGACAAGATATAGAATGTTACTAATCAGGCCATTTATAGGTCCCCCAAAGGGAGCCCAGATTGGAGGATCATCTTTAAAAGGGTTCAGCATTCTAGTCTAGTTTGTATAAACTGCCCTCAGGGATTTGAAGGGGCAAAGCATAGGGTAGTGACTAAGCATGCAAGCTTTGAGTTTAGATCACCTAGCCTATTACTTGGGAGCTATGTGGTCCAGGGATGGTTACTTAACCTTTCTGTGCCTTAGTTGTTTTTTTTTATATGTAGAATGGGTATGCAATTAGTACCTAACTCAGTGTTGTTGTTGTGAGTATGAAATAATAGCTGTAAAACACTCAGAACAGTGTGTAGCACATAGGAAGCTTCATACATGTTAGCTATTACTATAAGAACTATCCAATTTATAGGTGACATGGTACTGAGAAGGATAGCAAATGTGTTAGATTATAAAATCAAGAGCCCAAAAAGATTTTCGAGAGAAACAAAACTTGAGCTGAGTATAACAAATTTTTCTAGTGAGTAACCACATACTCACTATCTAGAGTCTACCATTAACATTCTACTATACTTCGTGCTTTATTATATGTCTGTCTATATATCATCTTTAAGTAGTTCAAAATGTAT